TAGAGGAATGTATGGATTGTGATAAGAGATGTAAGAGCCCCCAATAAAAGTATTTTTTTTTAATGAAGGAGAGAGAGAGAAGAAAGACTAAACCCCCAGACTCATTAGTATTACCAGAAATCTGAGGACCACTGGTGGCCCAAGAGCTACGAGCCCACCTGCTCACCAGGAGGTCTGTCTGAGCCCATGGGTGGCTCTGTGGGGAGAAGGACCTGGTGATCTGCTACCAAAGGAAGAAAAACGGATTGCCACCGAGTCCATGCCGCCTCCTGTGATGCTACAAGGCCCAGGAGGACTGCCCGGCTGGTTTCCAAGGCTCCCCTCTTCACAGAAGCACGCTGCGTAGCCTTTCTCCAGCCAGGTGCTGGTCAACTCCAGCACTCGGCACCCCCGCCACCAGGCTCCTTAGAAAAACATACCGAATTCAGAAGACCTTCTGCTTTTCCACACCGACCTTCCGATAATAATGAGAGAAGGGCTATGGCGCAAAATTAAGTGTATTCAGAGTACACAAATGTGATTATGTATGTTTTCATTACAAATGCAAAAGGAAAAATCTTCTGAATCAAAATTATTTCACGTTTGTGCAAAATTATTTTTCTTCTCATATGTCCTAAATTAGCTATAAAAATTAAAAGGCAAAGTCCAAATGATAGTTCATGAAACAAATATGTAAATCAAAATTATGTAAATAAAGTTAAATGGGTTGATTTAATGTGAACAAACAAAAAACCTGCTGTCCAGAAAGGGGATCCATGGTTACCAGAGACAGGAGGAAGGGAGCAAGGGGGCGTTCCTGTTCAGTGGATACAGTTTCTGTTTGGGAAGATGAAAACGGCACATTCTGTGTTGTATATGTTCTACCACAATTTAAAAATAATCATAATACCACTATCCAATTATGTATAGGCAAAAGAAATAGAAACATTTGAGGGGAAAGCCATAAACATCTAGACTTTAAAAAAATCTAATCACCAGAGGCTTTAAGTTCCCCTTCCCGTGGAAGACCCAAAGCTAGACAGTAAGAAGAAAGCATGAAGTGTGCTGCTAGGAACCATGCGCCTTCGACGAGGGGGCCCAGAGGCCAAACCAATGCTTTGTCCTGTACCAAAAAATGGCATCGGAATGTGCCATGGATGTGCTTCAAACAAAAATAAAATATTTATGCTGAAGTAGCATAAAAATCAACATACAACTGTAAGCTTATCAATTAATTAAGTAACCATCCATCCAAACAGGCAAATAAAGAGGATTTGTATGGCGTGCCTACATGTCATACACAACACACATAAACACAATAAGAAAAACTGAAACAAAGCGTGCAGCCGTTTACACTGGTTATCTCTGGAGTATGTGAGTGTCAGACATTAGAGGCAGTCAATGATTGATGACAGAAATCCTTGCAATTTATAATCCAGGAACCTTTTTTTCTCCGGGAAACATTTTTATGCATTGTCTCTAATCTACAAAACATACATATTTCCTCCCCTCCATTGGGGTTTGAGGGGTGGGACACAACAAAAAACTTTTTAAAGGGTGTTTTCTTCACAATACTCTCAATTCAATAGACCAGAGGTCTGGAAACCGTGGCTCGAGTTCAGTATATACATGTGGCTCTGAAGCAAAACTGAAAAATTTTAAAGGACATTATTCAAATAATGGTGATTTCAATTATTTGTGAAAATATATATCGATGGCTCTCGAATAATTTTCAAATTGTCATGAGGGCCAGGATTGGCTCTCTCGTCTCTCAAAGATTTGCGGGCCTCTACAATAGAAGAATACCTGCAGGAGCTCCGCGTAAGCAGACGGTAGCTCAGTCCCCGTTTGAAATGAGCTTTTCGGGTCTTGCATCTCAGTGAAGCCACCCAGATACCCAAACACACCCCACCTGCTAAAGATGTAGCACAGAGCGCTTTGTTTTTATTGTCATCTATTTTCATGCACCTGTGAATGGAAAGAAAGCAAGGAATACTAAACCAGAACTTTCAGTGAAGGTTAGCAGAGCACTTAAGCTGGCTTTGATTTAAAGATATTTGTTAAACTTGTCAAATCTGAGCTTTGGTTTTCACGGCCTCTCTTATCTGAGGGACCCCAGGAGGCAAAGCCCACAACCCACCCCAGGCAAGAGTCTAGTAAGAAACCCACGCCATAGGACTGGGGCCACAAAAGCCCATGCGCTCTCTCTGTATGAGGATGACCTAGACAGTGGTTCTGAGCCTTCCTAATGCCTGGACCCTTTCATACAGGTCCTCATGTTGTGGTGACCCCCCAACCATACAGTTATTTTCTTTGCTACTTCATAACTGTCATTTTGCTACTGTTATAAATCGGGCAGCCCCTGTGAAAGGGTCGTTTGACCGCCCCAAAGGGGTCGCAACCCACAGGTTAAGAACCGCTGACCTAGACATTGTGATAAGAGATATAAGAGCCCCCAATAAAAGTATTTAATTTTTAAAAAAGGATGACCTAGAAACCCATCTAGCCCCCACTCAGCTGTCTTCCAATTGTAGAGATGCTGAATCCGCCCCCGACCCTCCCCAAGCATTCATACACATAAGCCAAGTCTCCCACATGCTTGAAATCCAATTCCATAGCAGGAATTACAGCTTGTCCTTGGCTACATAACAAACTACCCCCAAACGTAATGGCTTCCACTGCCCACCACACTTCAGTATCGCTCAGTTCTGGTGCTTCTGCTGATCTGAACTTGGAGTCTCTCATACAATAGAAGCTGAATGATGGTTGGGGCTAGAGTCTGTTAGAAGCTCAAGTACTCGGAACAACCGTCCCTCTCTCCTCCTCCAAGTTGTCCCAGGGCCTCTCTCAGGAGCCTCTCCAACCAGAGCCAGGCTTGCAGCTCAAGGTTCCAAAGAACAGCCGAATGAAAGCTGCCTGGGACGGCACCAGCAGACCCTACAGGACAGGGCAGAACTGCTCCTGTGGGTTTCCGAGACTATAACTTTTTACAGGAGTAGAAAGCCCATCTTTCTCCCACATTAGCTCACAGTCTGCCTAAATCCAGTGGGTGCAGTGAATTAAGATGGTGCAGGTGTTAATACAGAGTGGATGCAGGTGTTAATATGGACACGGGTCAATCAATGGAAGTCCATCTTTGGAAACCAGTTGACATAATGAACAATTCAAAAGCCTCAAGTCAAGAATTCAGTTGAAAGTATTTTAGGGCTAGAAGTGTCCAAACCATCTAATAATATAGATGAAACCTCTATGAAGACTAACTTTTCAAAGCTAACACTTCAAACTATTTCTTATATCTGTAAACTTGTACCCAATTTTTGAGTTGTGGCAAAATAAATTTTTTTTTTTAAGGTGAAAAGGCTATGGATGGGAGCAGTCGCTGGAAAACACTGTTCTAATGGGTCGTTTTTTAGGGTTCTTTGGCACGGATCCAGAGGGAAGTTACGAGGCCAAAACCACCAGAGAGCTTTTGAGGCTAACGCTATCTTATCTGAGAGGTCAAGGAAATCGTGACATGCTCTGATGTCTGAGAAGCATAGTTTTATATCATTTTGCTGCTCAATTTAACATCAATCTTAGCACATTCCTTAACACCAAAGATCCATTTGGTGTACAACAGATCTTTGTTGACACTGGCCTATATTCAAGTGAATAAAAGCTTTACGTGGTTCAGGCTTTAAGATTCACAAAAGAATAGACCATGAAAAGTCTCCCTTCTACCTTTCTCTGTCAATTTCTCTCCCCAGGAGGTACAGCAGTTACCACATTCTTGCAGCTTCATCCATATGTGCAAATAATAGGAAAGAAATCATTCATCAGCTCAGCGGCAACCCTGACTACTAGCTATTCCTATATCTAAAGGAATGTGCTCCATAAAGCTTTACACAGAGTCAGAGTTGGTAGAAATGATTTCTTGACAGATAAGCTAATACTAGCCAACAGGATAAGACAGAGATTAGCTTGCACTGGCCTGCTAACCTCAAGATCAGTGGTTCAAACCCACCAGCTACTCAGTGGGAAAGATGAGACTATCTGTTCCCATAAAGATATAAAGTCTCAGAAACCCTATATAAGGATCACTATGAGTCGGAATTGATTTAGAGGCAACAGGTTGTGATTGATGTTTAAGGCCTGAGCACTGCTTGGATAGACTCTGTCCATGCCTCCTGCCAAATATTCTTCTTACAAGTGAGTAACATTTTTCATATATCAAAGGATCATTTTATTGGGGGCTCTGACAGCTTAGAACAATCTATACATCAATTGTATCAAGCATATGTGTACATATGTTGCCATCATTATTTTCTAGACATTTACTTTCTATTGAGCCCTTGGTATCAGCTCCTCATTTTTCCCTCCTCCCACCTTCATGATCCCTTGATAAATTATAAATTATTATTATTTTCATATCTTAACACGACCGCTGTCTCCCTTCCCCCACGGTTTCTGTTGTTTGTCCCCCTGGAGGAGGGGGGTGTAGTTATGTGGCGATCAATGCAATCAGTTCCCCCTTCCTCCCCTCTTCTCCCCACCTTTTCCCTACTCTTCTGGTATCGCTACTCCCATTCCTGTTCCTGAATTCTGAATTACATAATTGTTAACATCGCAAATTAAAGTTCAAAGCCCTGTATAATCGTCACTCTAATGATATAATAATTATTCTAAAAGCAAAATCTGCTATTCATAAATTCATACAGAACCTCATTTTGTTTTACTAAATATATCACCAAGGTAAACTGCTCACAGCCAGACAACTTTATCGAGACGTTTGTACAAAGTACATGTTAAGAACTTTTCCTGAATAAATTTATTATAAACTTACTACAGTCCCCAAATCACCCACAGACGGCTACTCATCACCAAGAGCTCGAGCATCATTAGAAGGTTCCGTTTTCTCCATAGAATGTCATCCCTAGCCCCAGTCTTCTGAAGTCTTCTTGTTCTTATCGGCTTCATAGAATAGCTGTAACTTCGGGTAGCTGCCAAGGGGATGTATCCCTCACTTTCTAATATTCAACAACATGGGTGAACGCGATCATGTTAGTGGAGAGCCAATCATCATGCTTCGAGATTGGCAGGCATCAAAGTTGGGACAAGACCCTCCAGAGGGCAAACAGGATGATGCAATGAGGTGAGGAAAGAATATGTTAGGACTCCGATTTATAATGATTATCTATTTTTTTAAAATATGACAAAAATAAGCTTCACTACTACTTAGCTTGTGAATTGACGCTGGCACCCTGCACCTACAGTATGAGGTAACCTTACGCCACAATGGAGGCTCTGTGACAGAGTGGTTGCAATGGTGCATTGCTCAGCCCTCTGTCGATTGTGAAGTACTAGGTTTTCTGTAAGCTCAGCTAAATAGATTTACAGATTACAGTATCTAGTTTAACCAAACTAAATCCGTACAAAATAGCTAAGCTTAGGAAGATGCTTACAAGAAACCAAGGATTAAAGGTAAGACTATGAATACAAGCAGAAGCAAACAGTCCACCTTCTGGCTGACAATGGGCTCACACTAAGACTAGCAGTGACATCTCTGCTGTGACCCCCATAACGAAAAGATCTACTTGGATCTAATAATTTGTCCACAAAACTTGAAAGTCTCGAGAATTATTTGAAGAAAAAAAGAAAGGCACTGACATATACTATGGTTAACAAAGAACTTCAAATCTAAGTCTGTGTGGACGATGCCGTCACAGATCTAAGTCTATGTGGACGATGCCGTCACAGATCTAAGTCTATGTGGACGATACC